CACACACACACACACACACACACACACACACACACACACACACACACGCACACCTACACACACACACATCTCAGTGTTTTTCCTTGTTAGTTAAGGGACTTGAACCAGCAACCTTCCAGTCACAGGCCAGCCTCCCCAGCCTTCAGGGCATTTCAGCTGCTGACATGTTTGCTCTCTGCGAGGCGGCTTGTTAGGGCGGATCACAGCCTCCACACTCGCTCTCAACACAGAATAATGAGAATCCTACGGGTATTAATTATGGTGGAGAGAAGGCAGAACACGCGCACACGCGCGCGCACACAAACACTCCTATATTACCAACAGTGGACTATCGTTTCACACTAACCAAATGTGGACCACTTCTGGGCATTTTAAAAACAAAAGGGAATGGGAAAATGTATAAAATATAAGTGCAAATAGAATTTTTTTATGTCTGTTTTTATTGCCATGGGGGGACTTGCAGTTTACCTGTAAATTATTAGTAACCTTGCTGCATGCAGTAAGTATATTTATTAAGAACTTCAGCATCAATTATATTCAAAAATATATAGAACACCAGCTACTTATTTCCTTTTAAAGGGTATTCATATTTGTCTGTACTACTGTATGTAAATATCACGGCCTCTGTGGGGTATCAATTACCTTTATCCTGTGGACTTAAATCTACTCTAAATTAATGAGAGAAACCTTCTCAGGGTCTCAGGGTGAGTTTTTAATCATACTTCAGCAATAACTTTGTTGTTGTTGCTGTTTGAGCATCTTCAAAAGCATTCATTACAAAAATCAATAGTCGTATAAAAGATCCTGGATTAATCTTTCTTTACTGAGGACGAGTCACAATTGCGATTTCATGTTCCGTCTTTTTGCATCCATATTGCCATGTAAGAGGTAAATCTAAAGTGTCACCTTCTGTTGTAACTCTATTATGCTTTAGTTTGACATCTCTCTCTTTACATCTATCATGACCTATGAGAGCGAGAGTGAGAGAAGTGAGCAATATGTCCTCATCCGTCTTAATAAATAAATAATAAATATTTTCTTCTTCTTTCCACCAGCAACTCATGACACATGTCCTACATACATACATACTCACTATTTAAGAGAAGAAGCTCGGAACATTTTGAGGGTGAATCTACAGATTTAATTAAAAATAATGTTTTGAATACCTATAATATGTTTTGTTTTAAAGCCACTATGTGCATCTGAATTTAGCGCCCTCCAGTGGTAGCATTACAAAAACACACTGCTGCAGACACCATTGGACACCAGCACTGAAGGAAATATCAGAACATTCTGAAAGATGCAACGATCACCTACAGATTATGTAGTGGCTTTATGACACAGAACGTTGAACAACTTTTCGACGAAACATTCTTTGGTTGAAACCCCCCAGGTTATAATTTCACATCAGACGATTTGACGACCTTTTTATTAACCGTCTATAGATGTGTTCACTGTTCACTTCATCCCAGATTCATCTGTTCATCCTGCCTCTTCATGGCGGAGGAGAGCTACATAATTTTCTGCGTCACAAACATTGTCTTTCTGAGGTCCTGGTCGACTCACCTGGTTGCTGGAGGGGACCCCCTCTGTTCCGATGCACGGGGCCAGCGTGAGGACGGGCAGCTCCTGGCCCTCCAGCCGGCGAAGCTCCAGACAGTTCTGCCGCTGTTTGATCACCCCGGACTGAGAGTCAGAGTCGTCTGGGACTCTGATGCAGGGAACATAGAGTTAATACAAAAATACATATCAAAACTACATAGCTTAAAACCACTAAAAGTAAGTGAAAAAAGTTTATTTTTGTTGATCTGAGTGACTCTTTTATCTCCAAAACCACATTTACCCAAAGTGAAAGCAGCTGGGTTTGGAGGATATATCGTCTTCATTTTAAGATACACTAACAGCCTCACTGAGATGAGACAGAAGACCCCAATCATCTCCGCATAGTCTCATTAACTACATCAAGATATCACAGTTAATTTGACAGTGATTCATCAAAACGACGCGCCCGATGCACCTTTTAACGAATCCTGCTTAAGGCCACGCTTCTCCAAACTCATTACTTCAGAAAGTTTCTTCCCAATCTTCCTCTTTGATGAACTTTCTCAGTCTTTTCTTGTTACATCCTCGGCCGCGCTATAAACTCGGGCTTAAGCCCTGTAGCATTAATTCAATCTGCTATCTCTCTCTGTTTTAATAACCCGTTAAAGGTTATTCTGCGTTTTTTAAGGGTCAGGTCCGTCCTCTCCTGAGATCAAGCCTGTTAATTCCATTCTGGGGGATTAACACCAGCCTTCAGTGGATAAATGCGTATTTAAGTGTGTGTGAGTGTGTGTGTATTGAAGTGTGTTTGAAAGATAGAGAGTGTTTAAATGAGAGTGCTTATGTGTCTTAAAAACATTTGTATTGGCATTTATGTGCGTGTAAAATTAGAATACTGTATATAAGAATCACTGCCAGGGCGTGTGACGTCGGTAAGTGTTATCGTGTGTTCATGTATGTGTGTGTGTGTGTGTGTGTGTGGGTGTGTGTGGGTGCAGACAGGGCCTGTTGGAGCTCAGCCAATCAGGACGAAGGGAGAGATTTATTACAAAGACAATGACTGAGGTGTAAAGAGACAGGAAGATGGCCTGGGTGTGGTTGAAGGTGGGTGTACACTCACTGTGGACATGTGACTGATAAGAACAGATGCGTGCATCGTGCACCGCCTTTGCAGACAACACAAAGCGTTGCAGAGGTGTGCAGTGTTTGATAAAGACAGCTGTGTCATTTACAACCATAATACCTGCCCTGTGTGCTGATGGCATCAAAACGCAGGTAAATATGTTCTGACCGTATCATAAGATCTGCAAAACTAGCCACAGATTTGGAACCAAACCGCTTGTGTTTTCGCCGATCATCTTTAATTGTAGCTAGTTTTCGTTTGGTGTCCCTGGGAAGGATGAGGGTACTAAAGTTGGAGGACAGAGCAGCAGATGCAGAGATATCCTGATTTATAGAAACTTGGTAAGAACTTGTGGCACAGTCTCCATGGTCCCAGTTCATTACGCTGGCGTAAAGCGTGTGACAAAGCTCCTCCAGGCTGAGTCATATTCCACACACACACACACACACACTCACACACACACACACACACACACTTACTTGAGCTCCGGGTAGACGTTGTCCAAGTACCACTTAAAGGATTTGCACTTGAGCTTCTTGCGGAGCTCCACTCTGCCTCGGATGCTGGTGACACACAAACAAACACACACAATCAGACGTTCAGATGAAAGACTGAAGCAGCCGCATAAACAGTCGATCAGATATTCAGAACCCTTGTGACTTACACTAAGACACGAGGAAGTGCTCATAAAATAACCAGACATGCCAAAAATATTCATAATGATATTTAAAAAGGAACGTACCGCCTGGACAAATAATGGAAGTGTGTGATGTGGAAAGGCAGGTGAAAGCCTCCAGTTGTGTTTAAATGTCAGCGTTTACCTGTGTCTGACAGATAAACGCTGACATTTGAGCACAGTTGTGGGCTTCAATGTCTGTTCCCGCTGTGTTCTTCATGATTATTGTGTTACTCACATTGTGGGGACTCGCCTCCTGTTTGGGGACCAAACTCTGGTCCGATGTAAACCATTTATTTTATGTTTAAAGAGTAACACGCCAGGTTGAAAAGCTGCGTTTCAGTTAAACTTTAACTATTGGACGTCAGCAAAAACATTTTCAGGGGTTGTTCAGTTACTCTGTAATGTTTCGGTTAAACGTCCAGGGATTGAGTCACGGTTCTCTATTCACTGCTGTTAGTATTCTGGTTGTAATAGTTCATCGTGGGCACTAATGCAGATCAATATACATGTCTACTTTATGGCCCTATTCGAGTCACAGCTTTTAGTTATTGTGGTGAAGCACAGCTGCAGATGCTGCTCGGGGCACTTAACACATTTTAAGAGTTTGTATTTCTGTCACCTTCCACAAGTTGCAACAATCTGTAAAGTTGTGCCAATCCCCCCCCTTGGTTGGCGTTGAAATTGGCAAAGATTTTCTTCCATTATTTGACGGTTTATAGCCGAGATTAACAAGAAACAAACCGTACCCACCCAGAAACAAACCGGGACGTTGCGCTTCACTGGTGTTCGTGTTTAACCACCAGACGTGAACGCTTTTCTGTTGCTTTCTTTCTGGCTCTGCTACAAGAAGACGACATCTCTATTCCTAACCTCACCCACAAAACTCAGATTGGTTTTTTTTCCAACTAAAGAACTGGAGCCATCAACAAGCACAACAACAGTCCTGATTGGAGATTTGCGGCCAATTCAGAGATCTGGAACCAGGCCAGTGTGAAAATCAGCTGTGTGATCATAAGGGTGTGTGTGTGTGTGTGTGTTCTTACTCTCCGTAGGATTTCCCTCGTGCTGCAGGCCGAGCAGAGTAGTAAAAGAGACTGAAGTCGTCCATCCACACCTCAGCTGTGCGACGTGTGTTCCTGTATCCACAAACACACAGAATTAAAACCTTGGTGCCTCACAATCTAATTTCATGATTCTTAATTTCAGGTGATTATACACTGATTAAACCACAGTTATGAATATTATATTCCATAGCTGCCAATTAGTTAAATGTTACACACTGTTCCTTTAAGTTAAAGAAGCTTGAGAACCCCAGAGTAAGAGGACGAGGTCTGTCCTCTCCTCCATCACCTGATATTTTAACCACAGTGAAATAGAGGAGAAGCTGCTGCAAAGAGGGAAGGAAACGAGTAAAGAACAGACATCAGCAGAGTTCACCTGCTGCAGAGAGAACAGCCCCCCTCCAGATGTGGTCTGGACCAACACCCACCATTAACTTGTTGTTCTTTCCAGATATCCGGACACATACTGCAGGTTTACACCGGCTGTAAATCCTACTGCTGTACCTCTCATTCACTTCGGCCCTGCGCTTCATTCACCGACACTGGAGCACATTTTCTTTATCTCTGAACCCCTCCATTTACTCCTCTTCTCTCCCTCCTTCTCTCTCTCTCTCTGTAGTAATTAGCTATTAGCTGAGTTTCTCTGAGCTGTGAACTATCTCATTGAAATGATAGAAACCCTCCATTACAGGCGCTACACACACACTGGCTGTGGCGGTTTAATGAAAGGGGAAGAGAGGGAGGATATGAGATGCTTGTAGGCGTACAAACATAAATACGTGTCACACACAGGCTTACAATTAAAAGAAATCAATCATTGCACACACACACATATAGATACACACACACACACAGGACACAGCAGCAGGCCTCGGCGAGGGAGCGGGAACCAGCATAATCTTTGTAATCGTAATTATTAAGCAGCTATTATTATTTAGCATATTCATAACTCAGACTGCCGGCGTCGAGCCTCCGGCTAATTAACCGGCGGAGCAAACAACTGTAGCTTTGTTTGGGGCGAGCGGTGTTGATCACAAACATCGGGTCATCGTGATACGAACAAAAAGGCATCACCGCCGTCATCCGCACAGAACAGATGCTGCCTCAGTTACGACCGACAAGGAGCGACACGGGCGGATGAACAGCCCCGACAGGAGGAACAAGAAGAAAGTCTCAGAGCTGGCGTGAATTAGCTGGTTGACACAAAACAATAAGTTTATACGAGCCGTTTGGCGGAGAGGCTTCGCTCCAGAGTGCCGTTGAGCAGCGTGGAGCGCTCGTTTTTGGGGGGGGGGGGGCTGAAACCAATCCGACCTGGCAGCTCCGCCCATTAGGCCTCAAGGGGATCCTAACTTCCAACCCTGGCAGTGTAAATGCCTTGCTCACATGCCCGAGGTTCCTGAATTACTGAACTGTTAAAGGAGTAACACTCCAGATGAATCGTCGGTGTGGCGTTCACTGGATCCCAGGAGTTGTTTTGTGATAAAGCGCTGTAATTTTGTTTTCTGTGAGCTCACTTGTCTTCTTCTACAGTTTGTCGTTTACAAGGTTTCCCAGAATGCCTTTCTATACACGGATATTCAACCGGCTGCGACCTCCGGTTCTGAAAAGTGAAGCCAATGTGGAAGTGTCTTAAAGCTGCATTCTCTCTAGTGTCCACCAGGGGGCGACTCCTCTGGTTGTATAGAAGTCTATGAGAAAATGACTCTACTTCTCTCTTGATTTATTACCTCAGTAAACATTGTGAACATGAGTTTATGGTCTCAATCTCTAGTTTCAAGTCTTCTTCAATACAGCATGATGTTCATTTAGTACATTATGGTCCATTTAGAGTCACACAGACCATAAAGCAGGGGATGCTTTAGGGCGGGGCTACACGGTGATTGACAGGTCTCTACCAGAGCCGTATACAACGTCTGTACTTCACTCCTCCTCAGTCCAGATATGGTCACTTCCTGTTCACTGGTTGCAAAAAAACAATATGACGACAACTCCAGTCATTCAAAACGGCAGTTCACAAACCAATAGATGACGTCACGACGACTACGCCCACTTCTTGTATACGTTATATGATATTCACTAACAAAGGGGACAGAGAAACGTTTTGAACACTGTCACCGCACCATTTCCTTGTTCTTGTACAACACATTGACAAACACGCCATGCAGTAAAAGTGCACCTCAAGTCAGTATATCTGAATGGAACCAGCATCCTTATTGTAACCATGATGAATCTATTTAATATGAGATCAATCCGCACGCGGCCCGAGCACGTTAGTGCCGTTAATGGATTACTGGACTGCCTGTAAACATCTTTCAGTTTGAACCGTTTGAAAGGGGCAGAGAACAGAACACAGCTTATGGTAATAGGATGATATTGTACTCGCAGCTCAAAGGCTCCCAGGCAGCTGTAAATCCACTTTAACAATGATGTGAGCAGCTCTTTCGGTGGCGGCGACACACGGCTCAGAGTGCAAGCGAGCGCCGCACGACATGTTTCCTGCGTGTTACATCAGTCAAACAGCAGATCAGTCAGCTGGAACGTCCGTGTGATCATTAGTCAGGTAGGTTAGTGACTAAGTGCTGTGAAATGATTATCGGAAAGGACAAATAGTTGGTTGGAAAAGATTATTATGATATGATTCAAACATTAACGTTGACTGTATTGTCTTTTTACGCTGCTGCTTGAATATCACGTCACTGACAGCAGCTTATAGAACAGACTCCCGTTAATGAGGGGAAATGTTATTCAGTCTCTGTTTGATACATATGGCGATGATGGCTTATGACTGTGCTGAACGTTGGGTCGGAGAAGGTGCATGTCGGGGATCGGGTCACAGACGTCTGTTACCGCACTGAAAAGACTTGAGCTGGTTAAGGGCTCGGGAGCAGAACTGCCGCTGCGGTTCGGGCTCCGGTCGGGCTTGGACAGGAACTATGGAGGTTTCTGTCGGGTTAATCCAGATGGAATGGACTTGGTCCAACTTGGTCTGTTCACTTACACTCGACAGATCTGTAAAACTGAGTTCCTCCACAAAGAATCACACAGAAGCACCACTTTGATTCTTGTGTTTTCCAGAGATTCACTCAGAAGAAAATAAGTCATTCAGCATGAAAAAGGACTAACTGACAAAGGAAATCTTTGATCAGTTCTGTGCCTTAACCTCCGAGGTGCATGGATCAGAAGAAACAATCCTGCTTATAAAGTTATTTGTACTACAAGTGTTGCTGCAGTCTTGACATACTGCATACATTCAAATAACCCCCAGAAAGGAAATTCTGACATTACGAAGACACTTACTTGATGTAGGTGTTGGCGTTACCGTCGGGGAAGACGTACGGGTGTTTCTTCCTGAAGACGTGACCCACTCTGCTGCAGGGCAGGATCTCCAGACTGCCGCCACACTGCCACACCCGGAACGAGATCTCTGCAAGCAGGTAAACACCCGACGTTTAACTCGTGCATCGTCTGTATTTCTCCATTCATTCTTCTCACCGAGCCACTGGTGAAAACAAAAGGGCTTTCATTTATTTTCTATTTTCTTTTCTCAGTCCAACAAACAACCCAGACACCATGTCAGGAATAGATGTGCGAGCCCTCGGTGTGCAACATTTCCTGTTTTTGTGGAACTCATCTTAAGTCTGTTGTCTTCTTTTCATTATGAGGCACTTGGTGACGTTCTTTTGTATTGTTTTGTTGATTCTGTTGGTCCCTGTGTTCAGTGGTAGTGTTTCTGAGCTCCAGAGTCCCTTTAGAAAACCTCTCATCTTCACAGTCTGCCCCTCTCAGTCCTGGTTCCTCCCTTCCCTCCAGCAGGGTCCAGCAATACGTCCTGGGTCTCCAGCAGCGTGGTGTTGGTGTTGACTCCCAGAGAAGAGAAGCTCTGCTCCTGGAGGAGGAGGAGGAGGAGGAGGAGGAGGAGGAGGAGACGCTGCTGGTGCCGGGAGCTGAGCTCTCCTCCTCCCTCCGGAGCTCCGACTGCAGAGGACCAAGGCTGCGGTGAAGCCGGATCTGGGTCTGTCCATGGTGGACCGGTCTCTGCTGGAGGATCTGGGTCTGTCCATGGTGGACCAGTCTCTGCTGGAGTCTGAGCTGAAGGAGGTTCTGGTGAACCTGCATGAGTTCATCTGGTTTCACCAGAATTCGACCCGGTGGCTCCGATGACGAGCATCAAGAATAACTCTATAGAAACAGACCATCTTCTCTCTGATGGTCTCTTTACTGATGGAGGTCTGATAGAGGATCAGGACTACACTGAGACTGGTTCATATAGAGGATCAGGACTACACTGAGACTGGTTCAGAACCAGTTAAAAGTTCCTCACAGTAACTTTAATATGTGTCTTCCTGGTAAGTCTTGGTGTTCTTTGAAGTTTTGTCTCCTTGTCATTTTTTGGGACAAACCTCTCTGAACATTCGACGATCCGCACTGACGGACTCTGAATTTGTTTGTCTGATGCAGTGTGAATGTGCACGTGTGCAGAATGTGTTCATTTGACCTGCTTACACTGTGCTCATTCCCTCTGCATCGTGTGTGTGTGTGTGTGTGTGTGTGTGTGTGTGTGTTAGTTAAATGTAACCGGCAGAGCTGCTGTCTGAGCTCCGGGGAGAGACAAAGAGAAGTAACAGAGCTTCCCCAAAGAACGAGATGCTGCGAACTACAAAGTTTTACAGCGAATAAGAGGGAGAGAAAGAGAGAGAGAGAGAGAGAATTGGTGAGAGGAAGAGAAAATGAGAGCGTGGACCCGGTTTGATGAGGAAGAGGAGAGATGGAGGTAAAGATGAAACACCAGAGAGTACAAAGGAGAACAAGAGAAGTCAGCAAGATACTGAGATACTGACACCCAGCCTGTGAGACTGACAGAAACACCACAGAGCGCAAATGAGTGTGTGTGTGTGTGTGTGTGTGTGTGTGTGTGTGTGTGTGTGTGTGTGTGTGTGCACGTCAGAAGGAGAGGAAAAACAGGCTAACAGTCTTTCATTGATCTGAGAAAAGCAGTACAGCAATAAGCAAACTGACTCAAACACTGTTACTGAGAGTGCAGGCACACACACACGCACACGCACACACACACACACACACGCACACACACGCACACACACACACACACACACACACGCACAGTTCAGATGACTGCAGGCAGGTAGCAGCAGGAGAGCCAGATGTTGCTGCTGGATGGATGTCAGACTGTAAGGACTGCTGAATGAAAGGTTCACCTTCACTCAGCTGCTCACAGCAGTGGTATTAATATTTGATGTTAAGGTGATTTCTAGGGTACACATCCTTGTGTTTTATTAGTTTATACGACGGGGCTGGTGGGTGGGAGATGTGATACTCACAATAACATGTTAAAAAACATCCTACATATACTATATAGACACTATGATATATAATAACACATACTGTAATAATTAGATGCATTTAGTGACGATGTTGCAGTAGGTAGACTTACGAGAAGCTGAATAAAGTGCAAATGAGTAACTGACAGTCTGCCTGCTGTCTTCTCAGATTGAAGAGTTTTTAACTAGAATACCGGGTCTGTTTTTTACATTTCTGTTTAACTTTCAGCAGCGCTCTTTGGGCAGAACAACGATGAAAGCATACCGTCAGACTATCAAGGGTTGCAGAAGCCAAAAAAGAGGATCAACATTCAAACCTCTGCATTCTGGCTCAGAAATCAGTTTGCGTCACTATGACTGCGTTACAAACAAATTCTGATGAAAATGAAATACATGAATTACGTTTGTCTGAACGCTGAAAGCTAACTGTTGACATGCTTTGATGCTTATTTCCTTGATTCTACTTTCCCCCTGAAATGATTGATCCGTGTGGTCACCAGGAAAAAGACGACTCACCGAAGTTCTCCCCGCCCCAGATGTCCATGGCCGTGTCGTATTTGCCGAGGTGATTGAACCAGGACCTGTCAATCACGAAGAGGCCGCCCGCGATGATGGGAGTCCTGTCAGAGAGAAACAGCAACAAGAGGGAAGAGACGTGAGTGTGGTGTCTGTGTGTGTTTTAACTTCTCCAGGATCTGATCAAATCGAAAAGTAAAAAGGTTCATTCACCACTTTTGTTGCTCTCTGTGTTTTCCAAAATAGACAAACGCCACACAAACACTCTCTCTCTCTCACACACACACACACACACACACACACACACACACTTTCCTACTAAACCGAGGCTGAATCATGATCTGGACAATGTGGTGAGTGATTAGCTGAGGGCCAGCATGCGTCATCAAATACCCTCTGTTTATCAAAAAGTATCCTGCTGTCACTGCCTGCAAATAGCAGTCAGTATGTGTGTGTGTGTGTGTGTGTGTG